AAGAAAAAGGTACATATTTTGACAGTAGAAAAATGATCTTCGTGAATCACAATGTCTAAAGTTTGCAATGAAAATAAATTTGCAATAAAGATTTATGCCTTTTTTCTTTTTCCTTTTTCTTTTTTTATACAAACGGTACAAACAGTATTGCACATAACAACAAATAAGTCGAGGTTAAGTTGCTTTCAAAAAGAAAACCGACTAGTTCAAGTCTCGCACGGAGGGAAGGCCACGCGTGGGCCGGTGGTACCCAGGGGGGGGGCTCCTTCATCCAGTTGTAGTTCAGAACACTTTTGTTTTAAAAAATAACTTCTTTTCTCGAAGGACCCTCTTAGAATAACGGGGGTAAGATATATTAACAACCTGGGGGGGTGGGGGGGGCACATTCATTTACAAAACAAAAGGGGACCTTGTTATAATTTAATAAACTAAAAATTATCTTTAAAAAAATACAAACAGAAGAACTCTCACAATTCTGGTCAGTCGTGCATAATCGCTTGATTATAAATATACAAATTAAGGGCAAAACAGGTTTTCCACCTTCTGTTCACAACTTTCCAGCACCAAAGCAGTTTTTTTTTTTTTAAATTTCCTCGCTGTACTCATTTTAATCTCATTGTTTTACATAACTTTCCCCCCTTTTCTCCTTTCTTCCCAGCTATGTTTGTATGTGGAAAAGGGAGATTTCTTCATCAATGTTTTAATTGTTTCACATAATTAGGTAGACTTCGGTAGGATAGCTATGATCTTCAAACACAGTTATAAAGCTCTAACTTCTTCATTTTCAAAAACGCAAATAAGCATGAAAAAAATAAAGTTACCCATCTGTTAAATCATTTCCTCACAGAATTAAATTAATATATATTTTTTTTCTGAATAAACTTACTTAGAAAATATTTTCTTTCCTATATTTCAAAATTGAGGTATTGCAAAAGATCATGTCAGTCAGAAAGCATGCCTTTTTTTTCTTTTAAAAAACAATAATCTGCCAACTATTGAAAACTGTCTAGTTACAAAAAGTAGTGCATAACAAATCTTGTATAGATGAAAAAAAGAAAGGGAAAATAAGAAGAAAACCCCAAACGAATCGAAATAGATTGCTGGGCTAGATAAAGCAATATCAGAAAAATGCCCAGGAGAAATTGCAAAAAGGGATACCAAGAAGAATGAATTATTTTTAAACCAGTAAAAAACTATTTTTTTTTTCAACAGAGAAATATTTTCTCCCCCTCCCACCCGCAAGCCAATAATTCCAACCGAATACAAAAAGAAAATGTAGAAAGTTACAACATCAACAAGGCCATCACAACACTCAAAATGGGGACATTTCAACACCTACTAGGCGGCGCCATATCCAGTCAAGACTGTCCCCAGACTTCCAAAACTAGGGATGGGGTGGGGGGGCAGAGAAGGAACCCACAGAAAACCCAGAAAAAATAATGTACACATTCTCACATTTTCATAAATAGCACACCAACATGTGTTTATGCGTTTGCCTTGTAGCCCCATATTATATGCTAAAAAAATGTCCACTGTTCAGGTTAGATTTCAAATATATTCAAGCTTCACAGGATACATCCAGGATTTAAGAAATTAAATATCATACCCAAGTTTAATTTTTGTACGCAGACATTTCTTTAGCACCGCTATTCCCAATCAAAAAGGTGCCCCCGTTTTATCAGACGCAATCGAAGCTGGTAGTTTACATATGCTGGCGTGAGCTCTTTGGTTCCCTGGACATGGAGCCGCAGCTACATAAATAGCGCCAGCCTTTATGAGACAGGAACTAAGAGCTCAACACTTCTTTTGTGGGTGTGCATATGTACTTGTGTCTATGGTTGAACTTTCAAGAGAGTGTGAATGGTAGACATAGAGGCTTAAACAGTTAAGTTTGATCACAGTACTAGACATAATCACTTTACTATATATAAAATAAATTGCACAATATAGAGCAGAGCACCGCAAAGTACTTCGTCTATCATTCACAAATCTGTTTTAAGGATATTTCTACATCTATTCTTTTTTTAAAAAAATATCTTGTTGTAATATAGGTGATACGGCTACGGGCTGATTTTAATTTCAGAAGCATCTATATAGACTTAGTCATGCCTTCCTCCAGTCAGTAACCTGTGCGTATGTGTCTGTGTGTGCGCGTGTGTGTGTTTTAAATTATTTTATTGAGTACTTTGTAGCCTACATAGAATCTTAATTGGTACGCGGTGGGCAAGTTTTTGTATTCGACATCTATAAAAAAAAAATTATTGCATGCGTCAACCTGGTTATAAACATGCAGTCAAAACCATTGACCATCCTTGGAAGCGTTCCGAGTGCTCCACTGATCTTCTTTTCAGCAGCCATCACTGTTTTAAATCACACGCTTATCTTTTTTTCAACGATATACCCTAGCTTGAATAGAGTAATGTGGTATTAGTAATACCCTCTTAATAGCAGCAAAAGCTATTGCAGCATACACTTACATAACACTAAAAGGCCTAAACAAATAGGAAACCCTCAGCACAACAGAAAACGGGGTGGGGGAGGTGGGGCGGGTGTGGGGTGGAGAAAATGCGATCCGGCTTATGAGGTATCATCCTTATCATCAGTAAAAATAGAGAGCAACTAAATATCGTTTAGGGTTATTCCTACTCTGAATGATTGCTGAATATCCATTGTAAGTTTTTGCTACATCTGCCACCTCCTTGCAAGTGTTACCTTTGGTAAATCATGTGCTGGGGGGGCAAATCAAAGTTTCTGAAAATAAGTGCATGCTCCAGTTTCAAAATAAAAGTACATAATTTAAAAATAAAAATAAAAAGTCTTAATCACATATACACCAACCCAATGGAGGCTGATGAACCATAGATAGCAGTCTACTTATTGTTAGCCGTGACAAGTCTCCGGTAAGAAATTAAGGTACCAAGCAGATGTGTTTGTGTGAATCAAAGTGCAAAATCAGTACAGTTACACTCTGCTAGGCTTGTATTATACTGGACGTAGCGTTCAGTAATGTGACTGTAAATAATCATAATCATCATCATTATAATCATAACCATCATCATAATAAAAAGACCCATCTCTTCATTAAAGTCAAGGATGAATGCACAGATTTCCAGAACACCAAAAGCCCTGAGGCAGCACTCCGTTCCCCCTTCAATCCAGTTGGCTCCAGTACTGCTGGCCTTCGGCCCGGGCCTCAGCTCCAACGGAAGGGCACGTGGCGGGGCCGGTCGCCTCCTTCCTTCACGAGCGGCTTGTGGAACTCCCGTCCAGCCCGAGAATGAATGCTCGCCCAACAGTATTCACAGTAATACTGCAAGCAGGTAACATTGGCACAAAAGAACGGGGCAAATTTTCCGCCACAGCGAGTACCCTGGCATTCATCACACATCTGATCATCAAGCACGTATGGCTTTACTTCCACCTGTAAAAAGAGGCGGGTACAGAGTCGGTCAGTAAATAAGGAGCATTTGGGAATGAGCCTGGCACGTCAGAATTGAGCAGAACGCCATACAACCTCTAGCGCAACCTCTCACAAAGTAGAGAAGAGCCACAACACCCAAGCTTTTAACACAATGAGAAAGGGCTTTTCAGCTTTCAGACATCACATATATTGAACAGGAGTGGTAATTTTAATTGGTATATCTGGTCCTATCGTGCTGTTGCAAATTTAAAAAGCTGTATCAGGAAAAAAAAATAACTAACTTCACTCTTCTCATAAATTGTAAGCCTGTTATGGCACAGAGCCTGTAGATATAATCTGGTGGAGATGGCAGTGGTGGAAATACAGTAGTGTCAGCTGATGGCTACACTTTAACACAGCCCATTGAGTGAAAGAGGGAGGCTTTTCATTTAGAAGATATAAAAATATAAATAACCAATAGACGTGGAAAAAGGGAGAGTTATCAGGGTCATATATTATTGCAATTATCTCTTGCAGATCAGGGAACAAGAAGAATGAATGGGTAAGAGTTCCTTGTTATCAGTCCTGCAGCAAATCTCTTGCTATCAAAATTCTAGTTATTGATTCCAGCAATTTGAGCTCAGGATCACAGCTACATTTCCGTATTTCACAGCATTTGTAGGAAAGCTTGGTTTTTGTTACGTAAATTACCAAAGAAATTCTGCCTGTAATTTAATCATTGATAAAATATTACTGTCATTTCTTTTCCTATTACAAGGAATGTTTAGCATCTCTTTTTTGTCAAGTTTTAACATCACTAGAGATTTAGAACAGAAAGGCCTATACAGGTATTCCTCACTTACTGACCAAAATTGGGATTGGCAACTCTTTTGCCAAGTGGCGCAGTTGTTGTGTGATGGCATGGACTGTGCTGGTTTATGACATCAGTTTCTGCTATGGTCTTTAATCGAATCACCGTGGTTCCTTAAGCACAATGTTATGTGGCCATAACATGTGACCTCTTCCAGCTTCTCCTTTGATTTTGCTTATTGGAAGTTGGTTGGGAGGGTCACAACAGGCAATCACATGACTGTGGGACCCTGTGAGCATCATAAACGCAGGGAAGTTGCCAAATGCTGTGATGGCCACTAATCTGAGGACCGATTGTAAGACTAATTTTTACTGCCATCATAAATTCAAAGAGATGCTGAACAAATAATCGGGAAGGGCGAATCAGCCGTATATGAGTATGTTCCACATTAAGATATAATTAACCTTAATGTTCTAGTAGAAGTTCTATCTTTCTCACACTGCTTTATTTTTCTTGTAAACATATTAGACACTACGATCAAAACATGTACTCCTACCTATTCTAACACACTTTTGAAAAATGTACTAATTAATATTATAGCAACTGTAAAGCAACTTTCAGCGACATAATCCTGGATTATAGATCAATGAATGGTCCAACTTCACCAGGCATCTGTGCAACTTGTCGGCAGAGTTAAGCCAACCAAAGGATGCTTCACTCACCCGTTTATCGATGTCATTGTGCTGGAGCTGGACAAAGCGTGCACTAATAGCGGCAATATAGCTCTGCTGATTGGAGAAAGCCACTCTGCCAGCACCTTTGGGGTACTTCAACTCTGGGTCTGTATCAATGCCAGCATAGCAGACTCCTCCATACAAACGATCCATAATCATAGCTAGTTCAACTATAAGAGATTGAGATTGAGATTTATTAGATTTATATGCCGCCTTTCTCCCAAGGACTCAGGGCGGCGTACAACAATTAAAAGAAACACATGATATCAAAGTTAAAAAAAAAATAAATGGAATATCCCAAACCCAATTAAAATTGACAATACATTTAAAAAAAAAAGAGAGAGAGAACATGAATATGGTAAAATGGCCATAAATTTAATCTTCAGAATCTCCGGCACTTCTATACTGTTACTATTTTTACTTATTTCTTAGGACGCTAATCCCTCAATTGTCTTCCATTAACTACAAAACATTGAGAGCAGTGGGGAGCGGCAAAAGGAGTTAGAAAGACCTTGCTCAAATTGAACATGGAGTCAACCCTCAAAAAATCTAATACAGGACACCTCTGACCTATCACACAAGAGACAAATTTACACAGAAAAATTTGATTAGCCATAAGAAAAGAATGCCATTATCAGCACACTATTATAACTTAAAAAAACCAGTTACACTGCAATTTTAACCATTAAAAGTAATAATAGGTAATATTTCAAAATATTTTTTTAGAGTATATGTTTACTTGAGATAATTAATGTAAATATCAAATATATTTTGGATACCAATTATCCAAAGGAAGAGATTATTACCACCACTTCAAAAATCCTCTCCCTAAACTTAAAATTGAAACCATCGGATACATGCCATATCAATAAAAATAGAATAGATACATCAAAACCAGTATTCCGCATTTTAAAAAATCTTGAGTTGATTTCAAGTAATCAAATGGAACTAGAGTAAAGCAATCTTGATATCAGCTATGGTTAAAAAGACCTATTTAAAGTAGAAGAAAGAATTAAAGGTACGTCTGAGAAAGCAATATAAAAGGATCTAAACATTATTAAAATTATTTAGGACAAAATGTAAAAGAAACAGATGGAAAATAAAGTAGCAAACAAGGCCACTAATTAAACATATTACAAATATTGAGGCAAAAGCTAAAGTATTGGCCATTGTATAAGAACGGTTTCTCTTTTGGAACATGTTGCTTTTATTACTGGATTATAGTTTTAAAAAAATCACATTTCAGTGAGTCTATCAATAGTTAGAGAGTAGTAGATGGTTGTATACAGCACATAATCTAAAGAAATAGATATAATTAATTATTTGAAAGAAGTCTCAGTTCAACCTGTTTTAGAATAACAGTAGTTATTCAATTACTGACCACAGTTGTGACTGGCAATCTCATTGCCAAGTGATGTGGTCATAATGTAAAAGTCACGTGACCATACCAGATTTACAATGTCGGTTCATCAGTTCCAGCTGTAGTTATTAAGTGAATCACCACAGGCTGTTAAGCACATTACTGGACGGTGTATTGACTTCCTTTTAGCTTTCCTAATGAAGGTGACAAATGACCATGTGTCAATGGGACCCTATGACCATTGTACATGCATGCCAGTTGTCTAAGTGCCCAAATTACAATCACATGACCACAGAGAGGTTGTAATGGCTACAAGTTTGAGAACGGATTGTTTGGTGTGCTTGTAAACTTCGAATGGTCACTGAATGGATGGGGGATAAGGGAGGAATATCATTCCCAAAGACAGGAGGTATCATACAGGCATTTCCTGATATACATCTATCCAATTAATGAACCAATATGATAAAATAGGCACGTCAATATTGGTCAACAGATTATGATTGGTTACTATATTGATCTGGATTAAATCGGATTTATCAAGGGTAAGTAGATTGGAAATCCAATTCTTAATCCAATATTCAAAATTCTTAATCCGATATTCTTAATATTCCACGTGGAATTTAAAAAAAAAATTGGGCTTTTTATTCGAGATGCTTACGAAGTTCTGCAATATGTACAGTAGGTATAGTAATAGTCACGCCTTTTAAAAAAGGTTTTAAAGTGTAAAAAATGCCAAATTCCAATGTGATTTTTATTCCCAAGAATGTCTCTGGAAACCACCAAATGTCTCTAAAAATGCTCTAAGAGAGAATACAAGCTAATAAGGGAAATATATATATTTTGGAATTGGACTATGGGCATCTGAAAAAGTGAGGACTGTTTGTTTCTTATATCAGTGGTTCCCAAACTTGGCAACTTTAAGACTTGTGGACTTCAACTCCCAGAATTCTCCAGCCAGCAGAGCTGGCTGGAGAATTCTGGGAGTTGAA